GGTAATAGAATCTTCTACAAGCCCATGGGTCTCTCCGGTGGTCCTGGTTAAGAAGAAAGACGGAACAACGAGGTTCTGTGTGGATTACCGTTTGCTGAACAACGTTACCAAGAAAGATAGTTATCCTCTGCCTCGGATCGATGACACATTGGACACATTGGCTGGAAGTAAATTATTTTCTACTTTGGATTTGAAGTCTTGATACTGGCAGGTGGAAATGGACCCGGTAGATAAAGAAAAGACAGCCTTCACCACAGGATCGGGATTATGGCAATTCAACGTTATGCCATTTGAACTCTGTAATGCTCCTGCGACTTTTGAGAGGCTTATGGAAAATGTGTTGAAAGGGTTATCTTGGAAAACATGCCTAGTTTATCTAGATGACATAATCGTCTTGGGGGAGACATTTGAAGATCATTTGAGGAATTTAGAAAACGTTTTTAATCGACTTAAAGCTGCCCAATTGATGTTAAACCCCAAGAAGTGCCAGCTATTTCAAGGTAAAGTCAATTATCTGGGTCATATAGTCAGTAAAGAAGGAGTGGCCGTGGATAAGGGAAAAATCGATTCCATTAAGGAATGGCCCAAAACCAACTGACAAACATCAAGTGAGAAGTTTTCTTGGACTATGTACTTATTACCGGAGGTTTATTAAGAAGTTTGCAGATATCGCTAAACCATTAACGCGACTTACAGAGGAAGCAATAGAATACCGCAGGGATGTAGACTGCCAGAATGCCTTTGAGACCTTAAAAAAGCATTTAATCACCGCACCAATTTTAGGGTATCCACTGCCAGAAGGAGAGTTCATCTTATATACAGATGCAAGTAATGTGGGAATTGGAGTAGTCCTGTCTCAGATTCAAGGAGGACAGGAAAGAGTCCTTGGATATTTTAGTAAAGTTCTCTCAAAACTTGAGCGGAATTATTGCGTCACGAGAAGAGAACTTCTGGCAGTAGTGAAATCAGTAGAGCACTTCTATCAATACCTCTATGGAAGGAAGTTTCTAATCCGAACCGACCATGCCGCCCTTAAGTGGTTGATGCAGTTTAAGAATCCAGAGGGTCAGATAGCCAGATGGATCGAACGACTCCAAGAATATGATTTTAAGATTGAGCACCGGGCCGGAGTTAGCCACCGAAACGCTGATTCTCTTTCCAGAAGGCCATGCCCATCGGAGTGTTCCCACTGCAACAAAATGGAATCCAAGGAAGCAGCAGTGCTAAGAACGACGGTGGTCAACGACGACTGGACGCTTACCAAGATCAGGGAAGAACAAGAGAGAGATCCAGTTATACAGAAAATCCGAAAATGGAAAGAGGAAAACCGTCGACCACCTTGGCAAGAAATATCGAACCTAGGTTCAGTAGTTAAGACCTATTGAGCCCAGTGGGACTCATTTATCATGGAAGATGGCTTGCTCAAACGAGTTCTGGAAAATGATGACGGTTCAGAGAAGAGAAGACAGTTGGTGATTCCAAAGAGCAGAATAGCCGAAGTACTTCGTCAGTTACACGACAGTCCATCAGGAGGGCATTTTGGTGTGAAGAAGACCCTTCAGCGAATTCGGGAACGATTTTATTGAATGAACAGTTCCGACGATGTAAAAGACTGGTGTAAGAAATGTACTATTTGTGCTACGAGTAACGGGCCTTATCGAAAAAGGAGAGCTCCTATGAGACAATATAATGCTGGAAGCCCGTTTGGAAGAATAGCTTTGGACATTGCTGGGCCATTTCCAGAAAGTGATAATGGAGGCAAGTACATGTTGGTAGTAATGGATTACTTCACTAAGTGGGTCGAGATTTACGCACTTCCAGACCAGAAGGCGGCCACCGTTGCAGATAAGTTGATCCAAGAATATATCAGCCGATTTGAAGTGCCTTTGGAGATCCATAGTGACCAAGGCAGGAACTTCGAAAGCGGTCTATTCCAAGGAATCTGTGATAGACTGGGTATGAAGAAAACAAGAACTACGGCTTATCATCCGCAATCGGATGGTATGGTAGAACGAATGAATAGGACAGTTGGCAAGTATTTGACAAAGATGGTGTCCGATCATCAGCGAGACTGGGACCAATATCTTCCGTTCTTCACAATGGCCTACAGATCTGCTGTTAACGAATCGACAGGCCAGACACCAGCCAGAGTCCTATTCGGACGCGAGATGCGACTACCTTGTGATCTAGAGTTTGGGTGTCGACCTGGAGAAGATGTAGCAGGTAAAGATTATGTGATCGAATTACGAAGAAGAATGGACTATGTACACGAGTTGGTCCGTTCCCATCTCCAGATCGCTAGTGACCGAATGAAGAAACGGTACGATACGCAAGCCGAAAAGGGATGTTTTAAGAAGAACGACAAAGTCTGGCTTTATAATCCCAAAAAGCGAAAAGGTTGTTCCCCCAAGTTGCAGCAGTTTTGGGAAGGTCCATACCTCATTATGGAAAAGATCAATGATGTCATTTATCGAATAAGCAAGATTCCGAGGGGAAAGCCGATGATAGTACACCATAACCGGCTGGCGTCTTTCGAAGGTGACCACGACGTAGATGAAGAAGTGGAAGTAAACCAAGTCCAAGATGTGCCTGACCTCACGTTTGAGGAATTCATGGGTGCCTATGGAGGTACCGGTACAGCAAGACATGGTGTTACCAGTGAAGAAAGGCAAGATGTACTCGCGCTTCTCGATGACTACTCACTGGCCCTTACCATCCCGGCCAGTATCAAAGACGCACCAGGGTTGGCATCCGTCTTTCGAAGAAAGTTCGGTCGAGTTGCAGAACTTCAATGCCAAGTGCCAGCTCCCGGTAAAACCTTGAAACTCCAAGATGCATCACGTTACCTTTTCTACCTGGTAACAAAACACTGCCCGTGACCAACCTACCTACCGAGATGTATGGGAAGCCTTACTTCAGTTGAGAGAGCACGTACTAGAGTCCGACGTGCAAAAGTTAGCCATGCCAAATTGGAGTGCCGCCAATTAGATTGGAGGGTTATACGAAACATGGTGGAGGAGATCTTTAAAGACACCGAAGTCCAGGTGTTAGTCTGTTGCAATCCGCATAGTTACTGGTGCGGAGAGAAAACCGTCCCTTGTCATTTCTATACAACTGGAAGTTGTAAAAGAGGGTCCAGTTGCCGATATCAGCATGTCGTTCCAGTTCCAGTCCCGACAAGGTTCCAGGAGGAACCATCTTTTAAGAGGGGGGCAATGTTACGATTTTAAATGTTAAGGCGTATAGAACTGTAAATATTTTATGACTAATTCTTTTGTATTGATTCTCGTAATTTCTAGGTCAAAAATCTACCTGATATCATTTGGGTCCCCTTCGCTAAACTAACAACAATCGAATTTTCTGGGGACGAGCCGATGAAGAACATACCAGCTTTGAGACCGGTTTCCGCTGTGTCTAGTGTAGTGAAGTGTAAAATAAATTAGTAAAAAATAAAGACTTTTGATAAATTATCGTGAGTTTTAATAAATTAGAATAAAGACAGTAAATTAGAATAAAGACAATAAATTAGAATAAAGACAATAAATTAGGACTAATAAAAATATTACAGTATACTCAACTGGTTCGTTTCATTTACATGTTTAACAGGTGGCCCAGACCATTTTTTCGTTTGGTAAATAGGTAAACGTTCTATACTATAAGTAATATATTATAGCAAATGTTAAGGTTCAAAATCTCAGTGAATTAAATGTCTATGGTGCCAAAGTTGTTAGGCAGCGAAAATTACGATGATTGGGTTTTCGCAGTGCAAAAATTTTTTGTTCTAGTCTAGAAGGTTTATCCACGTGTTTAGACGGAACTGAAGCCGAAGTAGACAAACAAGAAAAAGCTAAAGCTACTTTTGGCGGGTTTACCTAATCGTTTTTTACCAATTATAACAGTGACCAAACATTCCGGAATTGTGATTTCTACCGATTAAATCAAAACAAAATTATTTTGTACTAGTAACAGAACCCGAACCAATCACACAAGACAGTTTGAAAATAGCAACAATCACAGAAGAAGTGATGACGGCGTAAATAACAATAGAGAGAGAGAGAGAGAGAGAGAGAGAGAGAGAGAGAGAGAGAGAGAGAGAGAGAGATCTGTCAAAAATCAGATTTTATAATTGTAAAAAAACCGGACACTAGAAAAATAAATGCCCGAAGTTAAAATATGCGTTTAGTGCCGCGTTTCTCAATTGAGACACTAAAAAAACTGAGTGGTATGTGGGCTCGGGAGCTATTGTTCATTTAACGCCAAATGAAGACTGGATTAATAATAAAAGAGTAAGTGATACAGGTGACATTATAGTTGCTAACAAAAACACAGCGAAAGTAAAGCGTTCAGGTGATTTGAATTTAACAACTGTTGTTGGTATTAATCATTTTAATATTGTAGTTAAAAAGGCTCTTTGTGTTCCAGAACTTACAACTATAATAACCTTTTATCTGTCAGTAAACTAATAGAGAATGAGAATGCAGTGAAAATATTTAACAAAAATGCTGAACTAATCGCAAAAGCTGACTTGATAAATGGTATGTACAAATTGAATATTAAGGTTAATAAAGATTTTAAAAATTGTTTATTTGTCAATGGCGAAACATGGTATACAAGGAAACATATAAACAATGTATGTGGACCTATGAAGAACAGATCATTAGGTGGCTCCAAATATTTTGTTACTTTCGAAGAAGATTTTAGTAAAGTGGTTTTTATTTATTGTATTAAAACCAAAAGTGAAGTTTCAAATTGTTTTAAGAATTTTAAAAGTATCCCCAAAAACCAGAAGGGTTCTAATTCTACTTCTTTAAGGGCTATGTCCTAGTTCTGCCATACATCATTTTATTATTTATTCCATATATTTGATACATACAACAGTTACATTTAGCTTTATTATTTCTCAAGACAATATAAAAATATAAAATGGGCTGTCATATTGGTTGTATTTATTTTCATTTTCTCGTCTTTAGTACAAATACTGTTAAAATAAAATAACTTACCAGGTATACAAGCACCAACTGCAGCCCAAGTAATAATATAACTCGCTTCACTGTTAGAAAAATAATCATATGAATCAGGTTTTGTACAATTTTCATTTAACAGTGCATCATTCAATTGTGGGAGATGATAATATCCATTAGTGTTGGTAGTTAAATTGCAAGCGGATCTTAACGCTGAGTCTGAACTAAGTGGTGCTTTGAAGGGTTTTTTTGGAATATCATTTGCATCCATGTGTGTCACCGCCATTATTATGTCATAAATTGATACACGTCTTATTCTTTCCATCTCATCCTCACTAAACAACCTAAAGAGTAACACTTAGTTGATAATAGTAAACTCTTAAATAACTCTTAAAAAATTTGCAAGAAAGACTCTAATGAGTATCAATTGTTTCGCCGAAAGATTTCGCCAAAGAGAATTAATTTGGCTTCTTCAAGGCTGAAAGAGAATAAATTATAATTAGCTACCATATATTATCTATTAAAAAACATTTGATCTTACCGTAACTTAGAATTATTGAGTTAGGATGTTAAAAAACTTAGCTAATAACAACATAGTGGTAACAACCTAGATAATATATAGTAGCTAATTATAATTTATTCTCTTTCTGCCCTGAAGAAGCCAAATTAATTCTCTTTGGCGAAAACGTTCGGCGAAACAATTGATACTCATTAGAGTCTTTCTTGCAGATTTCCCCAATATTTATGTAAATAAGGATTTCGCAAACAAAAACTTTGAATAAAATGTTAAGATGTCTTTCTAGTGTAAGGTGTACCACGAACGATTAGAAAATGTAAAAAGCCATGTGATTAGTGAATTTGTTTAGGCAGATATTTACTCATCTTTTTCCTTAGAAATTGAACGAAATTTTAAGAACTTCTATTAAGAAATGTTGAATGATGGGGTTTTTGGTAGCAATGGGTTTTATTGTGACAACATTCACATCTGATTGGTAGAAAACGGCTGAAATGGGAGGCATATTTGTACGTTCTGTTTGATTTAAAAAATATAGAGACAGATTTGAGGGGTTGATGTGAGTCATTCCGGGATAAGAAATAGGTATTGTTATTTGAAGAACCGTGGACGATAGCATAGTTTTTATGATGGGACGGTGCTAATTAGCACAGTTTCCAAAAAGTAAACTTTGTGAAAAGTTGTGTTTTGTGTTTGTGGAGAAAGTTTCAACTGTGGTAGCAAACAAAAGAAGTTGAAAAAATAGATGACATACTGTAAGTAAAAAACAGATGTATAGTTTTATATTAGTGATTCCCAGTTTCTATTTGGGAATGAAGTGGACACAAGAGAGTCACTATTTTCTTTTAACGTGTTGACCCAAAGATGTTTGAATGTTAATCGAGATCTTTATGTATGCTTTATAGACTAAAACAAGGCATTCGATAAGGGAAAACATGACCGACTTATAGAAGTACTTAAAAACAAGAATCTGGATGTGAGGTATATAACATTGATATCAAATTTATACTACAGCCAACTATCAAATGTGAAAATTGGAAGAGAAGTGTCGGAAGAAGTGGAGATAAGGAGAGGGGTCAGGCAAGGTTGCATACTGTCGCCGTTATTGTTTAATGATTATTCTAAAGAAATCGTACAAGAAGCTTTGGTAAACGAGACAGTCGGCATAAAAGTGAACGAAAGTAACAACATTAGGTATGCCGACGATACAGTCATAATAGCCGACAAGTTGGTAGACTTAGAAAGAATCATGAACAAAATATTAAGATATAGTGGAGAATACGGACTCTCTCTTAACATCAAAAAAACCAAATTCATGAAAATTAGCAAGAACAACAATACAAACGAAATATTAACAGTAGGCGGCCAGCAGATTGAGAGAGTAAAAAGATATACTTACTTGGAAACGATAATCACAGAAAATAACGATTATACTGCAAAAATAAGAGTCAGAATTGAAAAAATACGTACCAACTTCGTGAAAATGTAAAAGATTTTATGCAGCAGATCTGACATTGGCCCACAGAATAAGGCTAATTAAATGCTGTGTACACAGTGCACTCTACTATGGAGCTGAATCATGGGAATTAAACCGAAATACAATAAATTGACTAACGTGTTTAAAATGTGGACATTTAGAAGATTGTTAAGGATTCCATGGGTAGATAGAGTCACGAATACAGAAGTGTTACGGAGAACAGGCAGTGAGGGGGAAATGGAAAAAACAATAAAAGAAAGGAAATTGCAACATCTCGGACATGTGATGAGAGGCGAAACATACAACATCTTGAGACTCATAATTCAAGGAAAAATAGAGGGTATGAGAAGCGTAGGAAGAAGACGCGTTTCCTGGTTGAAGAACCTGAGAGAGTGATTTGGTTGCAGTTAAAGGCAATTGTTTAGAGCAGCTGCCTCGAAGGTTAGAATAGCCATAATGATTGCCAACCTTCGTCGCGGAGATGGCACTTAAAGAAGAAGATAGTTTATATTTGACCAAGTCGATCAGTTGAGATATCCTTGTGTCTGAAGAGAAGCAGCTTTCCTGGAGTTAGGAGTTTGAGTGAAGAGTTGAGCAAAAATTAATGCAGTTGTAGAATTGTTTTATCGAAAACGATATGTAGAGGAGAGAGTAGTCGTATTTGGAGAAAAGTACGAGCGAGGTGGACAGGTGACAATCGAAAGAGAATATGGAGTCAGCTGTTTTAAAAACTTAAAGTTTAATTTTGTTATTTGGTTAACAGAGACTATCAACCACGACCTAATATTTAGATTAAAGTTATTTGTTTTAATTGTTTGTTTTTCTTAATTGAAAATTAAAGTAAATATAAATTTTTTGAGTTACTGGTAAAAAAGTAAATTGAAAAAAGAATCAAATAAAAGGTTTTTGATGTGGATATAACTTTATTTAATGTGTTATTGATAATTTTTAGTGTATGATTTGATGGATGTTTGATTTTTTAATTTCATATATTTTTTGTAAATTTATTTTCCTATTGTCTACTCTTTCCTCAAGGGCAACTATAAAAATACTTTGAAGCCACATTTTTAGTTTAATAGTAAAAGAGCATTGAGATATCGTATTGAAATATAATTATTTTGTAAAGGTAAGCTCAAGTAGAGATAAGATCTAATAAATTGTAAATACATGCATTTGAGTAAATCAGAACAACTGACCCCAACGTGTCGGTATTTAAAAAGTATTAGTTGCACTTGAAAAGGAAGACAATTCGAAAAAAAAAACAACAACACAGGTAGTTGAGCTTTTTTTCGCCGAGTGAATAATTTTTTTTGCATTCCATTTTATGACAATTAAAATTGTTTCTATTATTTACTATTTCTAACAATTTTATTTAATTTTTTTTATTGATGTGTGACAACATTTTGAAAAATTTTGACAATTTTTTATATTTGTGTGAACGAAAAATTTGTCGTATTTGCAACAAACCAAAGAAAGATAAAGCTTTACATTTGGCGGGAATAATTAAAAGCTTTGTATTTTTTAGGGGAGAATAATTCAAGAGGAAAACAAATATCTACGACGAGAAGTAAAAGTTTAGAGAAGAAAAAACAAACGGAAAACTGGAAATAACAACCATGGAAACAGAAAGACCGAAACAATCAGTATTTGAAATGTTTTTAGAAGAGATACAAGGGCAATCAAAAAATGAATGAAAATCAACGCGAAAAAGGAAAAGCAAAAGAACTAAACAACAGAAATATAGAGCAGCTTCTGGAAAATTATGAACAGGAAATTAAAAGATGTGTAGAGGGAATAAAGAGAGAAATGGTACTACAGATGGAAAAGATAACACTAAAGAATGGAAAACAGGAGACAGAGATTAAACAATTTAAAAATAAAATGAAGGAGATAAAGAATTGCCAGAAAAAGAAACTAGAAAATCTGGAAATCAAGTTGAATAACGGTATTCAAGAAGACATGGAAGAAATGAAGAAAATAATTTACCAAATAGAAAAATAAATCACAGAAAACAAAAATCAACAAAAATTCGGAGGCAGAAGAGAAATACTTATTCATAGTACAGGTGACGAGAAAATCCAATTTAGGACCATTGCCCACGGTCTCTGTCATTAAGAAGTTGAAAAAAAATAACAGTATGTCGAAAATTTCGAAGCATGTAAAGAAAATATCAGAAACTACCTCATGGATGAAACGCGCGTTTGACAGTAAAGAAGATAAATTAACTAGTTGGGAAAACTTTGAAAAAAGATTTCTAAATTTTTTCTGAGGCTAAATCCAGCAACTAGAAATCAACAAAGAACTGCAGAACGGGAGTTACAATAAAAGGATGGGAATGTCAGAAAAAACATATGCATTACAGTTTTACAACAACGCCAAACATTTGGAATACAATTATTTATAGGAGCAATTGGTAGAATTGATTGCCAGACATTTTGAGGAAACGTTAGAAAACTAAACTCACTTTGCAAAATTACAAAGGCATTGATAGTTTTCGTCATTTTTACAAATAAGAGAATCGCGTCTACGAGACAGAAGAACTAGAAGACCACAAGAATCGCAGGACTACAGATATAGGGGACAAAAGTATCATTAAGAACTGCCAAAAAGAGAATTTATCCCGAGAAGAGAATACGAAAATAGAGAAAACAAGAGAGAGAATTACGAATCCAGCAACCAACAAGGGAACAGGGACAGATACAGGTAAAATCGTAATAGAAATACATACACAAACTCTAAAGAAAATAACTGACTCTGGCTTTCTTTGATAATGGCTAAACTATGGAGTATATAAAAATTTTTTCAAACAAAACTGATGTATAATAAAGAAGTCTATAATTTTAAATTATTTTTGATTATACAGGGTCAGTCAGAACAACAGAATGAACCAAAGTTGTGTTTTTTAAAATAGAACACCCTGTATATTAAAACATGTTTGAATATATTTTTTAAAAATATGAAGAGTTTGTGTAAGGGTTATAGGCTGAAAGTTATTCAATTCTGAAATATTTACACTTTTATTGAGTAAAATGGTAATATTTAACGTGCTGTGGATTAGAATTCCAAAGTAATGAAAATGTAAATGATATGTCAAAGATTTTCTATTATAGTGTAGTGTTATTTTTTAATAATTTAATATCTTTGAAATCGAGCATACAATATACAGTGTGATCACTATGTTCAAATACAAAATTTTTTCATTTTTTATTAATGGAACACCCCTGTACATTAGTATTGTATTTTGTAGAAAATATTCTTTCTTTTGGTATTAGGTTTTATATATCTAGCATGTTTCGTTTTGTAGATATTTAGAGAACTATTTTGGGAATATTGCCGGAGTGTTCCAGGCTGAATTATTTACAATGATAGTAAAATTATTTTAATTCAAAAATTTCAAAGAAAGGATCACCTTTATAACTTGACAGGTGATAATAAAGTATGGGTGCATGACATGAACGAGTCCAAGAGAACGAACTAATAGACTTGCTAGCTAAATAGAGCCACTGAAGTATCTTTACAGTCCCAGAACCATTTTACAATATTACGAAAGATACTATTAAAAGTAAAATTCCAAACAAGAAAAAAAGAGATAACGAAAAAGATGGGGAAAGCTCATAGGAAGAGAATATATATAACGAAACGTCTGTAAAATATAGTAGTGAAATGTCCGTGGCGCAAGATATCCAAAATAGAGAAAGAAACTATCATACAGGTCATTTGAATATGAAATCCTTAGTGACATAAAGTGGTATACACCGGAAAACAAATATTGACACAGGAGGAATTTATGAACTTCTCGTAAGAAAATTTCTTGCTTTAATAAAGAGCAGGGGACTTAAATAAAGGGCAGGGATTGGTACCAAAGTTTATATTATAATAGTCTAGTTAAAATAATATAAAAGGAGTATATAAAAGATAAGGGAGAGAGAAAAACACAAATCTAGCACTGTGTGAAGTATGACTCCTTTCGGGAGGTACAGCACTTGAGGAAACACTACATTAAAAATGGGGTCCTAATGGGGTAGTGATGCGTCTCAAATAGTCTCTCCTACTCAACAGTCAACCTCACCTTCCCGTTGGTGAACCATGTTATCACAAACGAGGCCTGCACGGAGGAAATGTCGTTGCCATCTCCAGGTCCACTACCCCCTGAGGCTTGTCTGGAAGCTACAGTCGGCAGCCCCGGCACCAGACTCGGATGTGGGAGGCCAATAACCTACCCATCCTAAATTTGACCTTATTACTGAAACTTTGGTAGAAACAAACCGAACGGAACACATGTTGACGACTTTGGCATCACCGAAAACACGGACACGATTTGGTTGCTGGAATGTTAAAACTCTGTATGAGATTTCTAAACTATTTCAAGCAGTAAAAGAGTTAAATAGGTACAAATTAAGCTTTGTCGGTCTATCGGAAGTAAGATGGTTGGGCAATGGTGAACACCATACCCAAACAGGAGAACTCCTATTATACAGTGGTAAAGAAAATGGGAGCCACGAGAGCGGAGTGGGTCTTTTACTCAGCAAACAAGCCAAAAAAGCCTTATTTCATGGAAACCCATTAATGATAGAATTATGACTGCCAGATTTTATACCAGATACCGTAAGATAACAGTGATTCAATGCTATGCTCTCACAAACACATCTCTCCACGAAGAAAAAGACATTTTTTACGAACAACTAGAACAAACGACCCAACAGATAACCGAAGGTGATATACTAATAGTGATGGGCGATATGAACGCTAAAGTTGGAGAAGACAAGATTAACTTAGAAACCGTAATGGGCAAACATGGCCTAGGAATGATGAATGAAAATAGAGAGCACTTTACAAATTTTTGTTCCAGTCATAGTTTAGTTATTGGTGGAACGATCTTTCCACATAAAAATATTCAGAAGGTAATATGGACTGCACCTGGTCATACAAGAGAAAATCAAATAGACCACATCGCTATATCAAAAAGATGGAGATCATCTCTTCTTGATGTACGTAATAAAAGAGGAGCAGACATCGCAAGTGACCATCATCTCGCAATTGGTACCATTAAAATCAAGATGACAAAAAACAAAATCACGCGAAACACCAAGTGACCAACATACATTCTAGATAAACTAAAAACGGTCCCAGGAAGACATATGTTTAGAGAGAAACTTCAACTCAAAACAAGAGAACGTAAAATAAATAAGTCGGAAGATTTCGCAGAGGTTTTGACAGAAATAGCTGAAGACAAACTGGGTAAAAAAGAGAAAGATAGAAAAGAATGGATATCAGATGAAACATGGAATCTTATCGAGGAAAGAAAACAACGAAAAAAAGATACCTTGCAAGCAGGAACTGTAGAAAGAAGAGCACACCGACAACAGGAATATCAAACAATAAATAAATCAGTTAAAAGAAAAGTAAGAAGAGACGAAAGAAGGTGGGCCGAAGAACTGGCAAAACAAGCAGAAACAACTGCACAAAACAACATAACTAGGGAGCTTTACCAAATTACTAGACGACTAACAAAAAATGGGTCCAACTGTTCGAACATTGTAAGATCCAAGACAGGCGAAATACTTACTAGAACAGATGACCAAGTAGAGAGATGGAAAAAGCATTTTCAGGAGATGATAGGTATTCCCAGAGATAACGTAGATGAAATTGTCGAAAACCCGCAGAATATAGACTTGCATATTTCTTGCGAGGCCCCTTCCAAAACGGAGATAATAACAGCTATCAAATCTCTGAGAAACAACAAGTCACCGGGAATCGATAACATTGCTGCTGAAATACTTAAAGCTGATCCGCATCTAACTGCTATACTTTTGCTCCCCATAATCCGAGAGGTGTGGGAAACAAACCATATTCCAGAGGGCTATAAAAAAAGGTAACATTATACTGTGCAAAAATTGGAGAGGAATAACCTTGCTTATTGTCATAAATAAAATTTTTACGACCATCATACTGAAAAGATTAACAAACAAGGTTGAGTTTCGAGCTAATCAAGCAGGCTTTAGACCAGAATCCTCCTGCATAGACCACATTAATACTGTGAGGGTAATAATGGAACAATCGGTTGAATGGAACACACCCCAATACATGGTTTTTGTTGATTTTGAATGTGCCTTTGATAGCTTGTCTCACGCTGCTGTATGGAAAATTTTAGAGCTAAGAAAAATCCCGCAAAAAATACTTTCTATTATAAAGTCACTATATACTCATGCGAAATGCAGCGTTACACACAATGGGATCAACAGTGACGAATTCGACGTACTTACTGGAGTTAGACAGAGATGCGTGCTTTCTCCGTTTCTTTTTAACATAGCTATAGACTATGTTCTCTCCAAACTAGATTCCGACACAAGAGGGATACAATGGATTTTAACCACACACCTAAGCGATTTAGAATACGCGGACGATATCTGCCTATTAGGTCAAAGGTTCCAAGATCTGTCAAGAATAAATGCAAGGAACAACACGCTATTTACTATCGACAATATGCAGATTGAAAATGTGGAAAACTTTACGTATCTTGGAAGTGTCATAACAGAAAACGGAGGTACAGAAGACGACATTTGTATGAGGATACAAAAAGCCCAACAAGCTTTCAGCACGCTCAACCCTGTTTGGAGATCTGGCGAGTATACTACAAGGAGAAAGATCCGAATATTTCGATCAAATGTCATGTCTGTTCTACTCTACGGATGTGAAACCTGGAAAGTGACAAACACCCTCACAGACAAACTGCAGGTCTTTGTTAACAAATGTCTACGAAGAATTGTTCGTATATTCTGGCCTAACACCATCAGAAACGAAGATCTGCTACACCTGACCGAACAAAAGAGGGTACAAAATGAAATTAAGTCCAGAAAGTGGGGTTGGATCGGTCACACACTCCGAAAAAATAGTTCCAGTATCGCAAAGTCTGCCCTAAAGTGGAATCCCCAAGCGAAAAGGAAAAGAAGTCGCCCAGTACAAACTTGGAGAAGATGCATCATGGACGAGATAAGAGGCCAAGGAAAGTCTTGGAATGAGGTGAAGGCCTTAGCGCAAAATAGAACCCGATGGCGGGTTTTCACTGAAGCTCTATGCTCCACTTAGGAGTTCAAGAACCTTATATATACATTAAATTATTCTTATTAGAAAATTTGAACTAGCAAATAATTTGACACAATTCTCACATCCAGAACGACTCTGATCTTACCCGTTTTCCCTGTTTTCGAACCAAAATCGATCTCCATCTCTTATTCTTCTAAACTGGTCTTTGATTATTGTTCTAAACAGTTCTCCAGGTCCCTCACGAGTTGTTTCCATAATACCTCCCACCCATACATCGATTTTATTTATATCGCCATATAGTGTACGTAATCTCTCTCTTGCCTAAAAATTTTAATTATGATAAACAAAAAATTATGATAAACAATAAAGAAAGCAATCGCATGCAATAAGACTATTAGCTGATAATATTATTAACAGTTATCATCGGAAATACGGATCTTTTTAAAAACCCGGATCAGCGGATCTGCATCGGTTAAAAGACCAGTCAGTAATCCGGTAATTAAAGTGTTAATTGTTAATCTCGTCACAAACTACGAGACTGGGGCAGTCTGGCCATAAATAGACAGTTTTGCCCTATCCCAGCGATCTTAAGGGGTGTAGAGTTGTGTTATAGAGCTAGCACCTTTTATCGGAACGACCATATCAAGCGCCATAGATGGGAGATGGTTCTTAATAACTGGTCCTCATAAGACAACTAACTCTTACTTATGGGTCCACGTGCCACACCCCGGGCAACTGCATTGGTCTGCAGGCTAAACTGAGTGAGAGTAGCCAGATATATCCTTCAGACTTCGATCGAAGCGGTAGTATTTTGCTACACTCCGCAAATTAAAATTTAATTGATTTTAAATGTGTTTTTAAAAAACCAAAGAAATAATTTATTGTGATTGTGTTTTTGAATATTCAAGTAAGTGATAACGACAAATTTGCTGTTTATTTATCAATCCAATAATTATAATTCATATCCAAAACTAGCACAAAGTTAATCATGCCTAATACATCGTTTTGTGCTAATTGTTCAAAGCTAACTTCTACCTCCGATAGAAAGCTCCAGTGCGATGGCTGTAAGAAACCAATACACATTGCTTGTACGGATCTGTCGGTCGATGATCGAGTTACGAGGCAAAAAGTACGTGGTATATGTATACTATGCAATGCATGCAGTTCAAACATTACGAATATTACTGAAATCAAGAATCTACTTGTCGAGTTTAAAGCGGACATTAAGAAGAAAATTGAAGATTTTGATATTAAACTATCTGAATTCAGCAATAAATTAAATCAACTCGATTCTATTACAACAACAGAATTTACCGACAGCATTGTCAATGAAGCCGCTGACCGCATATCTCGTTCCAAAAATTTTTTGGTTAGAGGCCTCCCCGAACCTACAGGAGACGCACAAAATAAAAAAGATCATGATAAGAATAAAATACATTTAGCCCTAGAAGTCATTGGATGTCAAGAAAGTCCTGTTACATTTTATAGAGTCGGTAAACCAAATGAAAATAAACGTTATCCCCGCATGATAAAAGTGATAATGAGTTCTGAACACCACACTCGAAAAATTCTTCGTAACAAAAATAAACTTTTGGAAAACAAATCTACTGAAACGTATTCTGTTATTGATGACAAGACACCTATGCAGCAACTTCGTTTAAAGGAACTTCGTTCTGAGCTTGAAACTCGTAAAAATAATGGAGAAAATGACCTTACGATTAAATATGTGAATGGCTGTCCAAAGATAATGAAATTTCGCTCATAATTCTTCTGCACTAAAATTTACGGATTGGCTTCTTATGTATACTAATCTAAACTCTCTTATGTCCAAATTTAATGAATTTATAAGTACTGTTCAACTTTTAAAACCTCACATTATTCTCCTAACAGAAACGTGGCTTAATTCTTCTATTCCCGATGCTATTGTAAACATTGATAATTTTACTATATTTCGTAGAGACAGAGGTACTCGTCGAGGGGGAGGAGTATGCATCTATTTAGCAAATGAAATTACCAACACTTTTTCTATCAGTAATAAAACAATAGACGTACCCGGTATAGAAATTATCCACTTACTTATTACTAATAACTCTTTCATATTTAATATAGTTTGCATATACCGACCTCCTGATACAGTACTTACTCAGGACAATATGCTTATTAACAAACTTGAGGAATTATCATCCCTTGAAAATCTCATTGTTGTTGGAGATTTCAATTTTCCAGAAATAAGCTAGCCCATTATTTCCAAAACTGATACTATCAATTCCCAAAATTTGTTTAAAAACTTTATCATGAACTCAAATTTATTACAACTGATAACTGAACCTACAAGGTTTAGAGCCAACAAAAATCCTACAATTTTAGACTTATTTTTCACAAATGACGATGAATTAATTTCTTCACTTGAAGTGTCCTCTCCTGTGGGTCTTTCTGACCACTCGCTTATTACTGCTCACATTCAATGTAGTTTAACACCGCCTTGCAAAAATAATTTCGTAACGTATGCCACTACTAATTTCATTGATGTAAATTCAGTTTTATCCCAGTTAAACTGGCAATCTATTTTTTCTAATCACTCTGATCCATCGTCAATGTGGGACTCTTTTCTTCATACTGCTATTACAACAATTTCTGATCATACAACCGAACGGCAGGTATATAGAAATCGACTAAAACCTTGGATTAACCTCTCAGCTACTCATTTAATTCGACATAAGCGAAAGCTTTGGCGAAGATATAAACTCACTAGTTCCCCTGATGATTTTTTCGCCCACCGTAATTTTTCTAACCGAGTCAAACAATCTTTGCTAAAGTTAAGAACAGAATTTGAAGAATCTATCATTGCAAGTGGTAATAGTAAAAAAGTTTATCGGTACATTCGTACATCTTTATCTTCTAAAGTTTCCATACCATTGCTTCAAAAAGCTGATGGGTCTTTATGTTCTTCGAATAACGAATCTTCGGAATGTTTATCGTTATTCTTTTCTCAAGTTTTTACAGATGAATCTAACGATACCATTCCTCAAATAATGTGCACTCGTTTGTCTAAAACTCTTGAAAATATATCTTTCACACCGGATGAAATTAAACATCATTTAAGGAAACTGCGAAGTAATTCATCACCTGAATTTGACGGACTCACCTCTTTTTTCCTCAAACAATGTGCAGATTCTGTCGCCATCCCTATATCTCTCATAATGACTGCTTCTTTTAATCAAGGTTCCCTCCCCTCGTCCTGGAAATTGGCTTCTGTTACTCCTGTTTTCAAGAAAGGTAATAAACTTGATTGCAATAATTATCGTCCAATCAGCCTGGTTCCTATTGTCGGCAAGGTCATGGAATCGATTATTTCGGAAGCTATGTCCGAGTTCCTTCTTCAAGAAAATGTCATCCCTCACCAACAGCATGGATTTATCAAAGGTCGTTCAACGATCACAAACTTGCTTCATTGTGTAAATGATTGGTCATTATCTTTAAACAATCGGAATCCTGTCGATGTAGTTTACTTAGACTTCTTCAAAGCTTTCGATCGTGTTTCAAAACGTCGATTACTAGCTAAATTGGATCACTATGGTATCCGCGGAAAGTTAAACATTTGGATACAAGATTTTCTATCCGACAGATACTTCAGGGTTCGTGTTGGGGAAGACCATTCACTAGATAAGCCAGTCAAGAGTGGAGTTCCACAAGGATCAGTACTTGGACCGCTACTTTTTTGTGTCTACACTAGTGATCTTCCGCTCATTGTATCCAGTAAGGTTTCCATTTACGCTGATGACACGAAGTTATATGTGAATCCAACTATTAACCAACATATTCTTCAACAAGATCTTGACGCAATATTCAAATGGTCCTCAGAATTGTTACTTCCGCTTAACATTGAAAAATGCGTTGTTTTACATATCGGCAAAAATAACCCATCACTGCCGTACTTTATTAATGGACATCCTTTAAACTCTGTAACCTCACACAACGATCTCGGAGTGATAATTAATAGTGACTTAAATTGGTCTGATCACATAATGTCGGTGTGTAAACGTGCTAACTCGAAACTGTTTTTGATCCGTAAATGTTTTGCACGCATATCTCTAACCTCTGTTAGTAAACTTTACTCAATATACATTAGACCTATTCTTGAGTTTGCCGGACCAGTATGGAATCCAGATCTTAGTCGCGATAAAATCCTACTTGAAAACGTTCAGCGTAAAGCCACAAGACTGGCATACGGCCGTGTAAGACCTAACTATGAAGATAGACTATTCATGGCTCATCTTACGACATTCGAGCAGTGACGTCTTCGAGGTGACCTAATTATGTCCTTCCGTATTTTAAAACATAATTTTGGGAACCTAAACAACATATTCACTTTGAATGAAGACGATAGATTAAGAGGCCATCGATACAAATTAAAGAGGGAACAAACTACTGCAAGGTCCAGGGCGAACTTCTTGCCAAACAGAATCTTTAATATCTGGAACAATTTGGATCCAGACACCATATCGGCAGCTAGTGTTAACATCTTTAAAAATAAACTTGACAGCACTTTATTTTTTTATAGGATAGGATATTTTTTCTCGGACAGCATTATTTATTTATTTATTGTGCCACAATTCAATTTTTGTTAATTTGTTTAACTGTACTTAACTTTATAATTAGTATTAGTTTTATAAGGATATATTTTATTTTTGCTTATTTTTGCTTTTTGGGCATAATAGGAGCTCGCTCCTCTGCCCTCTGTTATATAATAATAATAATAATAATATGGTGAGAATTTCACCGAGTGATTGCCGGTATAAGCAGTCTCCCACTTACCGACCAACGGCTTCGAGAGGATGAGTTGGTGAGTGGTAGGGCACTCTTTTGCCCTGGGGTTGAGAAATCGGCCTCGAAGGCGGATGAACAAAAAAAACTGTCAACGGCATAAGAATGCAGACGGTAAGGGGAAACCACTACATTAAATATTCTACACAGATATCCCTAGTACAATTGTCATGGTTGTACAAAAAGTAACTCGTTACTGATGATGGATATCGAAGGCCAAGATCCGGCAGGGGAGGAAATCCCTGTGAAATACCCATTAGTAACACATCGTCCAAAAAGAAGACTAAAATCGACAGAAAGTGTACGAAGATAGGCACGTGGAATGTTAAGTCAATATACCAAGCAAGTAAAGTCCATAATGTCATTCAGGAAATGGAAAGACAAAAATATTAGGACTAAGTGAGACCAGATCGCCCAATTCAGGTGACATATCAGTAGGCCAAACAAAGATATACTACTCTGGTAATGACAATGATGCAAACAAATCACTTGAACGGAGTAGCGATATTAGTTGACAAAACTACGCAGAAATTTGTAACTGGCTTCTTACCCATCTCGGATAAAGTTATGATGGTAACACTAAAAACAGCTCAATCTAGAAACAATATAATTCAAGTATATGCTCCTATAGCAGAAAAGTCGGATGAAGAGCTCGAACAGTTTTATAATGAATTACAACAAGCTTTTGAAGACGAAGTATATGCTCCTATAGCAGAAAAGTTCGATGAAGAGCTCGAACAGTTTTATAATGAATTACAACAAGCTTTTGAAGACGATATTCGTATGAGGATACGAACAGCCCAACAAGCTTTCAGCACGCTCAACCCTGTTTGGAGATCTGGCGGGTATACTACAAGGACAACGATCCGAATATTCCGATCAAATGTCATGTCTGTTCTACTCTACGGATGTGAAACCTGGAAAGTGACAAACACTCTCACAGACAAACTGCAGGTCTTTGTTAACAAATGTCTACGAAGAATTGTCCGTATATTCTGGACTAACACTATCAGAAACGAAGATCTGCTACACCTGACCGAACAAAAGAGGGTACAAAATGAAATTAGGTCCAAAAAGTGGGGTTGGATCGGTCACACACTCCGAAAAAATAGTTCCAGTATCGCAAAGACTGCCCTAGTGTGGAATCCAAGGGAAAAGAAAAAAAGGTCGCCCAGTACAAACTTGGAGAAGATCCATCATGGACGAGATAAAAGGCCAAGGAAAGTCTTGGAATGAGGTAAAGGCCTTAGCGCAAAGTAGAACCCGATGGCGAGTTTTAACTGAAGCTCTATGCTCCACTTAGGAGTTCAAGAACCTTGTTCAGTCAGATCGCACCTAAGACTGCATATGGGGCCCATATTTGGATCAGGAGTGTAATGATAAGTGCAGTATGCTACAGCTTATAGTAAAAGGCATGACTGGCTAGGAAACTTAAGGGAATGTTTTTAAATAAGAGAAGCTACAAATATAATACATGCCGCACAAAACAGAGAAACATATCGTTTGATGGCGCAAACTTTCGGTAGAAGACGATACATATGGAAGAAAAATAAAAAACAGGGACATACATTAGTAGTGTTTCTATGCCGGTTATATCCCAACTGTTCATAATTATCCGCTAGATGGCGCTTTAATTTTTAATCTAAATTAATTAATTAATTCTTATATTAATTAAAAACTCTGCTATCTAAACTTATCTTTATTTTATGTTTATTTACGTTAATTTTTTCTTCTCTCTTCCTCTTCCTCTACAAAGATCTAAGATTTTTTTGTATTTATACTAATCTTCAATCGAAGTTGTAACGCGCACATCGTTTCTGTCTGCAGATCTAGCGTTGTGAGTTCAATTCCGCACTCGGTTAATTTTTTTAATAAATAACAGAATAAAAATGACGTAAATTAAGTAAAAATGGACTCATCCTTTGTTCGATAGAGATTGCTACAAGTAAATTAATTTGGATTAAAAATTAAAATTAAAATAGATCTAGTGGATAATTATGAACTGTAGGTTCTTCGTTCGTAAGTTCTTCGAGAAGCTATGTGGTATGCGCTTGATAACAAAGAAATACCCATTGAATTTTTGTTATTGAGGTTATGCTAAAAAAGATCAAAAAAACTTATTATAAAAGCATTTGACTTAAGTAAACTTAAAAAATGGAAATATTAGACAAAATGTTGAGAAAGAAATTAACAATTTCAGTAGCATACAAGAGGAAATATACAACATAAACCATATAGATAAAAAATTAAACTTTATAAAAACAGTGAGTAATAAGAAAATCCAAAAAAATATAAAGAACTCGATACAAACTAGCGAATAATGTGAAGAATTGGAATATTATGACAGAAAATATGACACCTGCATTATGCACTAAAAAGTAACAGATATAACGGGGACACAAAAGAAAATCCAGATCAAACGGATATCAAACAGAACAAGTCTGTTCCGTGTTTTGGATGTATTCCGTTGCATGATTTTTACGGTCGAAAGAAAAGATCTCTATGAGAGAAGAGGCCCAGTCCTTACTATGGCCGAGAGAAGACGGAAAAGAGAAAGATCAGGGAGAAGACAGGATTATTTCCTGACGCAGGTCCTCATAGGACACAGGTGTTTTAGAGCCTACTTTTCTAATCAATAATATAGGCATTTCTATAATAAAGGCAACCGCATTGCTGACCAATTAGCGAGGAAGGCGGCAGGAATACAACTCTTAGGATCTGGGGATCTTTTTGGTTGGTACACTACAACAATCGCGGAAAATGTCACTCCCATACGTAAACCGTAAAAAAATGGGAAGAAGGGCAAGGATGTATACTTGCCAGGGTAACACTAAGTAACTTTGAAACGACAGCGTCAAAGAAGTACTTGAGAATGACCAAGTAAAACCTAGATTAGACAGTTGGTTTTTTAACTGGTCATTGTCAACTAAGCAAACACCTTTACACAATAAGACTAGTAGACACACCTCTATTCAGGAATTGTGAATGAGAAGACGAAACTGTAGATCATGTCCTATGTGAATGCCCGGAGTTATCGTTAATACGAGAGTACGCGTTCGGCGAGACCTGCCCACATAAGGGAAATGTCCTCTAGTTAGGCACCTTCCTACAAATAGCAGGCTGGACAATAAGCTAAGAAAGATAGTTCCCTGGGAGGATGCACAATGGGTCAATTGTGGTCCAAGTGCTGTGAGATTTAACTCGTCCTTCCTACTCTACAGATACAGATCCTTGAAGACATACAGCCGAAAAAAATCATAAAAAGTGAAAATATAGTTTTTGATAATATCTGCCGCGACAGACTAGATTCTTTAAAAAACTTTGTCTTAAGATTTATTTCAGAATAAGATTATATTGATTGTTAAAACTATTATTAGTAAGATAATCTAAAAAATTAAATAAAAAACTAAAGGCTCAAATAAAAATCAAACGAATATCATTTAGTACATACCGCAGGTGAAGCAAAAGTAAACTCATCAAATGTTTTGTACGGTTCTAGTCCAAATGCTCTTCTAGCTGAATTAAAATCAGGTAGACCATGATCTCTACCTCTCTGTATATTAACAGCCATAAGATCTCTTCTGGGGAATTCTAAAGGCCCAAAAACATTTCCTCTTAAATCTTCGACAATAGTATGGTCCTCCTTTTCTGTTAGTTGTACAGACATACCCATAAGAATTCTGTCCATGTTAATTAAAGTCTGGTTATCATCATATTTTGTAAGCATAGGATCTTGAGGTCTCCAAAAGATATTACAAGTTCTTATAGCAGCTTGACTCCAGTTCTTGAATTTAGTCTTACAACCATTTCTAATGTAATCTCTTATATATACCCCTGGAAGTACCTACAATGAAATCTTAATTATAAGTTAAATATAATAAATTAAACAAAATAACTTTAAAACTAGTATAATGAAGTTAATGATATAATATTGAAAAAACTTTGAGAAATGAATATAAAAATAGAGGATATCAAATCAATAAATAAAGAACATGTAGTCAAATGAAATAATATAAAAAAAGAGATGCTAGGACAAACGAAATAAAATCACAAGTTGCAAAAGATGTGTGAAAAAATTAAAAAAGAAAATGCAGAAAAAATAAGAGGACTAAAACTAATTAAAACTAGCAGAAACGTAATAGGTAAGAATAGAAGAGAAAATAAGGTTAAATTACAAGATAAAATAATTTTGGATGGAGTGGTGCGAAACTTTTTTAAACATAATTTAGATATAAGATAAAAACAAAGGAAATATGAAAAATAGGAATACGAAATTATGCTTAAGAGGGTTGCGATTACAACGAGGAAGTTGAAATTCATTTTGGAGTAGCACAGGTCCCTTTCGCTTACTTGCTTTTTCTTTCACTGCTACCAAAGAATATAGACGCTACTACTTACTCCCATGCTCGATTATAATAATATAACTCCCGGTGATATTAGTCTACGACGTTCTTGATGTATTTCTTATTCTCGAATTGGACTGTTTCAAGTTTATTAAGCCCATATTTTGTAGGAATGCCCACGAAAGTAACTTAACTTAATGAAGTATACGGGTATTGTGGACAATATAATACAAAAAACGAAACATGGTGAAATTTTTATTTTGCCCCCTACACAAGTCGCAGAATGTTTCAAGGTATCTTACTTGTATATCGAAAAATTCTATAGAAAGTCATTCGGCAAACGCACAAGCAATGTTAAAAATAGGTAAATAACAAAGTAGAATTTTTACCTGTACTCCAAATGTGCAAGACAAAGATTTAGATAATAACTTATCCTCATCATCATTAAGAAGGCACAATCGACAAATTTCATCCATTTTTTACCTTCCAAGAATACAATAATGTTAAAATAGAAAATATAAATTTAAAATTTATATTTAATACCATCAAAATATTTCCTCAAATCTAGAGATGGTCGTTATTACAATAACGATATTGGCATATTATGCCAGTTGCCGATGCCGGCATCAGATATCTAAATATTGAATAACGGTTATGCGATGCGCAGAAATTACTGTTTCTCCTTTCCGTTTCAGTAACGGGTAGAGTTGGTCGGATAGTATCTATTCGATATTCAAAAAATCCGACAAGCGAGAGCTGGCGGGTTGCGCGTAGAACAAATTGAAAAGTGGAAGGGAATGCAAACCTTTGGGATCTCAAGCACGAGAAATAATTTTCAATGTTTTTAAGTTTACAACCGAAGAAGCTAATGTAGATAAAGTCTTAGTTGATTTAAAAATATACAAGAACGTGTAGCTCAATTAACTGGTAATTATAATACTTATTTTCAAAATAAATTCAGATTTAAATAATTTAATTTAAGTTACAATCAATAAAATTAGAATCAATAAATAAATAAAAACTTACAGAACAAAAAATACCAGTAAATAATAAGTAAACAATGGATTAGTTAATCAGTGCTTTACAGTTCACTATTATTGGTAATACAACGTATATATCTGTTTGTAGCGACAAGCTAATTATGTCAAAAATTAAATACCAGTTCTTCATGTTAAAATTTACATTATCGCAATTGGTTATACACATGTGAAATAGAAATTACATAAAAATTGAAATGTGTTTCTCCAATATGTTTATTTACTACAGATATGCTGGACACTTTAATTATACATTTGAATACGTTGCATTTTTCATAAATGGGTAACGAAATATGACATTGTAAGCAATAACATCACAAGATAAAAGGAAGAAAATACTTGAGTTTACCGTCTGGCTTAGTAAAATAAACAAAGAACGTATGTTCTGTGTTGTTTTAGTGTTTAGTTTAGTAATCATTAAGACACACAAGTTACATTAGTCCGCGATACAGTTAGTTTAGTTGTTCGACTCGAGCAGTCGAACGGAGCTGACGTGCCAAGCAGTGAGAGGAGCGACACCGCCGAAGCGTAGAGACGACCAAGTCCGAGCTGAACTTTTTAGTTCATATCGTGAATGTAAGCACGATAGCGGTGACTTGGCGTTAAAGCGCCTAGGCCTGAAAAAGAGAGGCAAAACCTTGCGTTGCGACTAGGTTAGCCGGGGAGATTTGTTTTTTAAATCAAATCTTCACGGAGGCCAAAATTGCGGCGTAAGGAAGTGAAGAAGCAAACGGGCTTCGCCCGTCGGGATATTCTCTGTGCCTCCGTTGGGATGACACTGTGAGATATAGTTGTTTTGAACTCTATATCTGGCAGACACGGCCCCAGGGTCAGAGAATTGAGAAATTCAAGTGGATACCGCTTTAGTTCTGTCCTAAAGTGTGAACAACCGCGGACAGGTCACTGGGTGGCACCCAGAATCCGTGCTGGCAGCGGGCCAGACGGACAACAAAAAAGCCTTCTTCCAAATTTCTTGATTAGGCCCCGCCCCCAACATGGACCGTTCTAGGTCCCCGCCGATTCGTAAGGCGAACCCATCCAACCCCGATGGTTGCCGTGAGAGGAAACTCCACGGTAACATCTATAACGCGTTGCTGTCCCACGACGCTTCCGACGGACACGAAACATCTACTAACTACGATGTTTTCAATGACCTCCCCGTAGTAGATGACTGGGAAGCCCATGCCACGGACGAATTCAAGCGTCCCAAGACGAAGAAAAGGAGGACAAAAGCCCGTGCGGAGGGAAACCGCACAATAGAAGAAACTACGGACGACGAAACACCAAAAGCAGGAAAGAGGATCAGGAAGAAGAGCAGCGAGGACGAAAAGTCTGAACTGCAAACACTAAAGAAGCTCCTACAAGAAAAGGAAACCGAAAACAACGCCCTCAAAAAGAAGATAGAGGAGTTACAAGACATAATTGTAAACTCCCAAAAATCCATAATAGATCACATGGACAAAAAGTTCGACCAACTTGAGGGCAAAACTGAGGTAACCCTGGAAAAACAGGCACCGAAGAAAAAAGAAGAAAACCTGGAAAACCAGGCCATAACCAAAAAGAAGGCTACAGGAGCAATTCCAAAAACAAAAAAACAACAAGAGGAAAAGCCCAAAGAGGCACCCAAGCCCAAGAAAGTGAGAGAAGACTTCCCAGCACTCACCCCCACTAAACCACAAGATGAAGCTCAAATAGTACAAGATGGAGATGCGCAGGCTGAACTACAACCTCAAGAAACAGTCATGGAAACCGAAGAGGTACCAAGGAAAACCTTCGTACAGAAACCGCCTGTAATCAAATTACAGAGCGTGAATTACACGGGGGCCATATTAAACCTTGCACAAAAAGAGCAGGTTTATACAATCAATAAACTCTCAAGGAGTGGACGAGAGACATTAATACAAACGAAAAGCCCTGAGGACTACCGAAAAATGGTAAAAATTATTGAAAATTTCAATAAAGAAACCAAAATCCAGTGGATTGCTTTTCCACTGGAAGACGACATAAAACCACGAATGGTTTTAAGAGGGCTACCCCCATCAACAAGCCTACAAAGCATCCACGAAGAATTAGTAGAAATACACGAGATCGAAATAATCTCAATAAAAAACATGATTTCTAGAAAAGAAGACAGGAGGATGCTACCAATGTTCGTAATGACAGTGGAAAAAGAGGACGTGGAAAGCCTTAAGCGCATCACCAACTTGCTACACATGAAGGTGAAAATAGAAGATCTACGCAAAGCAACAGGGCCCACGCAGTGCTTCAACTGCCAAGGCTATCATCATGCTCAAAGAGCATGTTTCAAAGACCCACGCTGCGTGAAGTGCGGCAAAGAACATGCATCGAGAGATTGCACGTTGACAAAAGAGCAGAAGCCCAAATGTGCTAACTGCCAAGGCCAACATCCGGCCAATTTCAGAGGCTGTCCCAGATGTCCAGTCTGGGGCAGACCCCAACAACAGCAAAGACAAAGGCCTGCTACACAAAACAGGCCACAAACAGCACATACTGGGCTATCCTACGCTCAGGCAACCAATCCACAAGAGAGTGAGAAAACCATCCTCATCTCTAGACAACACCAAGATGGCCTAGTGAACTCCGTAAGGGAACTACTCACTAGGGTAGTAAATGAAGCGATAAAAGACTTCAAGCTAGCACTGAACTAGTGCAAACTAATAGGGGATACTTGAGGATAGGCTCCTGGAATCCAGGGGGTATAAGGACCAACCAGAACATTCTGGACGAACTGGTCAACAGATACGAAATGGACGTCGTAGCCATTCAAGAAACAAAACTCACGAACAACGTAAATATCAAATTCCCAGGATACGACGTATATAGGAACGACAATACAGCGAGAACAGGCGGCACAGCAATACTCGTGAAAAAAGGCATAAGACACACTAGATTACTAACACCACAACTAGTAACAATGGAAGCCACGACAATAAAACTAGAAATGAGGCAAGGAGAAGTCAGAATTACCTCAGCCTACGTAAGACCGCAAGATCCGCTGGTCGACGACGATCTAAATATGTTCCTAAACGACGAACCCTCTATCATAATAGGAGACCTAAACGCAAGATCCCCTAATTGGAATGATAGAGCTACGAACAGAAATGGAAGACTACTAAACGCGTACATAGATAACAACGAAGAGGTTATGGCAATGGGCCCCACAGACCCGACACACTACCCGGGAAATGCACTTCCAACACACATCGACATAGTAGTTGCTAAAAATCTAGGACTACAAACAGAACTAAAAACACTAAACGAAGGCACAACCGACCACAACCCCATCCTATTAGAACTAGGAACGTGGGAAGAAGAAAGTAAAATTACAAGGACTAAAAAGAAAACAAAGTGGACAAACTTCAAAAGGCTCGTAAGCACGGGAATTAACATTGTCCCCGTGATAAACAATCCACGAGAAATAGAAGTAAAAGTCCTAGAGTTGG